GGGTACCTCCTGGCTGCAGGCGAGGCAGTCCAGGAGGCTGCTCTTGCCAATGCCGAAGGCAGTCAGGGGCTGCCGCTGCAGCTCCTGCTCAAGGCTGTCGTGGGGTACAGGCCAGAAATAGCCTGTTCCCAAAACCTTGGTTTTGTGCCTGAGGTTTAGGGTAGGGTCGATCTTATGAGGGCCCGAAAGTGGCCCTCCGTTTTAGGCTGAAAAGCCTCAGGGCTGAAAAACTCTGTTATAGGCTGAAAATGAAATAGGGCCTGCAGGCACTCGTTTTCAGTTTCAGGCTGAAACGACATGGGGGTCTGTAAGCCCTATTTTCTAGGCTTTTAGGCTGAAAGTGCGGGATGGGTCCTGCAGGCCCGTGTGGCTACGCAGTATGCCACACCCCCCCCTCCTTGAAAGACCGAGCTTGTCTGCGAGGGTGAAGCTGTCTGTCTGAGGGAGGGACCACAGTTTGGGTGGGAGGGGCTGGTCGTGAAGCTTCCTCAGCTAACCTTTGCTTCTCATAATGCGCGTAGATCAGCCGTGCGGATACTTTCAAATCTGCTCCTGAAATCCACCGAGTGTCGTCGCGATCTCATGCTTTGAATGTAACTTTATACACTCGGCTTGCTGCCGTACTTGCGATCGGTGATGACGCGTTCAACTTCCTGATGACCATCCATAGAAGGAGGGTCCTGCGATCGTCGGCCTTGAAAGTCGTCGCTCTTAGCTGGCGTGTATGTTGCCAGCTTTGAGGCGTGAAAGACTGGATGGACCGTCAGATGCCGGGGAATGTTGATCACAAATGAAGGGCCATCGGGTTCATCGCCCGCGGCTGATGTTACGGGCCATGGTCCAAACCACTTAAAAAGCAGTTTGCGTGAGACATCCTGTTCCAGTGCAAACTCTTCCGCGGAAACCCAAACGAGGTCGCCGGCGTGGATGGGACATGGCACACGATGCCTGCTGGCTTGCTGCTGCATCCGGACTTGAGCCTTTTGCATATTCGCGAGGGCTTGAGCCAGCAATTCCCTGTACTTCAAGACGGGAGCGGGAGAGCGAGCGGCATCGATGTCGGCTGGTCGTGGGAGGGGAAGGTCAGCGAAGATACGGCCTTTCCGTCCACCGTGGTGCAACTCGAATGGAGTCACGCCGATCGCCGGGTTGACCGAAGTGTTGTTGGCGAACTTGATGTCAGGGAGGCGGTCAACGCAATCTTTCTGGTCCGGACAGATGAGTGTACGAAGCATCATTTGAGCGGTCTGATGTGCCCGCTCCGTTTGCCCGTCTGTCTGTGGGTGCCGAGCCGAACTTGCCTTCATCTTCGTGTCGGACTCCTGCATGACCGCAGTCCAAAATGCCGACATGAAACGAGCGTCGTTGTCGCTGACTATGTCTTCCGGTACACCATGGCCGCAAATCCAGCCGGTGTGCAGGAGGCGTGCCAGCTCGGGAGCCGTGGAGTAGTACTTGCAAGGGAGAAAACGCGCGTACTTACTCAATCGGTCCACGACCGTGAGGATGTCGTCGTGTCCGAGGCGGTCGCGGGGGAATGGTCCGGTGACATCCATGGCAATGGAGAGACCGGGTCCTGCGGGATCGGCATCGGGCGCAGCTCACTATAGGGATTGCGGTTGCAGGGTTCGCTTCATCGGCAAACTTCGCAAGATACGCAATACCTCGTGACATCGGTGATGAGGTCGGTCCATCGGAATCGCTGTCGAAGTCGTGCAATAGTGCGGTTGACTCCGAAATGGCCGGCGAGTCGCGAATCATGATACTCGCCGAGGTGGCAAGTCCGAAGACGGCGGTCGCGTGGGACAAATAGTAAGTCCTTGCCCCGCGAGTGCAGGAGCAAGTACCCATCGGCGATGCGATAGTGGCTGGCCGGCGGGTGATCCGAAGATAGCTGCGCATATAGCGTGGCGAAGTCTGGATCGGACTCATAGCCCCTGATGAAGTGTCGTTGGAGCTCCTCGTCGAATGGGAAGGCATGATGTGTCATAGCGCAAAGATCAGGTCTTAGCGAGCGTGCATCTGCTGTGCGATTGGAGAGGCCGGGAACATGTTTCGGTGTGAAGTCAAATTGGTCGATGAAGTACATCCATCCCCCGATCGTGCTGCTCACCATATCCTGCGTCTTGTAGTAAATCAGTGGGTTGTTGTCCGTAACACATATGAACCTACGACGCCCAAGGAGGAAGTGCCGCCATCGCTTGAGAGCCGTCACGAACGCGAGCAGCTCCTTCCTTGCATCATCAAGCGAGTTGATGGGAGGCACTTTGTGGCTGAAATACTCCACAGGGTGCCAATCGTCGCCGTCGTGCTGTTCCAAGACTGCCCCAATGCCATAGCCGGAAGCCTCCGTGGTCACTCTCGTCGACAGGGTGGGGTCATAGATGCTAAGGACGGGTGCCATGAGCATGATCGTCTTGAGTGCTTGGAATGACCGGCGTGCGTCGTCATCGAATACGAATGGCACCTTTGGCGATTGTAATCTCGTCATAGGTGCAACAATCCTTGAGTATCCGGCGATGAATCGCTGATAGTAGCCCGCCAACCCCATGAATGAACGAACCTCCGTGGTGTTGGTGGGCTCGGGCCATACGCGGAGGGCCTCGATCTTGTCCGCAAGCGGACGGATGCCTTGCGGCGTCACATAATGTCCCAAGTACTCCAGCTCCTGCCGTGCGAATTCGCATTTGTCGCGGTTGGCTTTGTACTTGGCTTGTCGTAGCCGCTCCAAAACKGTGCGCAGGTGTTCCACATACTCGTCCAAACTCCGACTGTACACCAGGATGTCGTCGAGGTAGATAAGCACGAATCGATACAGCATGTGTCGGAACTCCGTTGTCATAGCCGCTTGGAAAGTGGTCGGGGCATTCGTAAGGCCAAATGGCATAACCAACCATTTGAAATGCCAATATCGCGTTTTAAACCCGGTCTTGTAACGATCCGCCTTTCGAATCTCGAGTTGGTGATATCCCGACTTGAGGTCCAACTTGGAGAAGAACTTGGCGCTGCCCAGTCGTTCGAGAAGGTCGTCGATGCGTGGGAGAGGGTCAGCGTTTCTGATCATCTGCGCGTTGAGCTTGCGATAATCGATGCACAGTCGCAAATCCTTGTTCTTCTTCCGGACGAAAAGAACAGGAGCACCGTATGGCGATGAGCTAGGCCTTATCCAACCTTTCTCTAGAAGGTCGTCGAGTTGTGCCCGTAGCACACTGAACTCTTCCTCGCTCATTCGGTAGATGCAACCGCGCGGAGGTACGGCCCCGTCCTCAAGGATGATCTCGTGGCGGATGGGCCGATCCGGTACTACTCCGTGCGGGCCTTCGAACTCGTCCCCGTAGGCGTCGAGAAGCTCGGTGATGCGTGGATCCGAAGATGAGTCCGTCAGTGAAGCGTCATGGGGCGTGAGGGCATGGAGAAAACACACCCCCATCTACTTTATGTCGTCTCTGATGATGGAAGCTCGCATGCTTGCGGCGGATACCACGTGGCAACTGATAGAAGGGTGAGGAGGAGGCACCGTGCATGGGACTAGTACTCCGTTCCGATCACGAACGTGAACGGTGCGGCGGTAGAAGTTCACCGGGTGGTCCCCGCTTCGCAACCATGACATGCCCATGATCATGTCAAATTTGGTGTCCAGAATGTCAAAGGACACCGCCTCACTTGCGTGAGGGGCAAAGCACACGGGGACGTCATCAATGCACCGGTCTATTGACTTGTGCGTGTGACCGTCCGCCAACGTGACTTGCGTCGACTGGGACTTCCTTCAGACGTGTGGGCCAAGGCTGGCGCGTACCATAAAGTCCTGGCTCATGTAGTTGCGAGATGCTCCGCAATCGATCAAAGCGTTGCAGGTCGCCTCTCCGATCTGAATGCGTACATATAGCAATGGTGCGTCGATGTCGTCGTACCGTTGCGTCTTGAACTCGCGGTCGATCTTCGCAATGTAGGCGTGAAGGTCGACAACCTCTACTCCGACGTCCATCAACGGAGTTGGTACTGCAGTGTGCAAGTAATCCCGCAATTGTGCCTTGAGCACGTTGCAATGCGGTTTCGGCAATCGACCAGACCGAGGAAGAGGCATTCATTGGAAGTCCGCAAATGTCAACGGGTCGAGCTCTTCAAGTCTTGACCATGACGTTGAATCCCCGACGGTAGATGGCGGCGAAGCTGCCGAATCGGTTGCTGATGGTGATGAAACCGTGCATGCCGTAGATTGTTGCACGTGGAGCGGTTGGTCCAGCGGTGGGACCAAGTGGACAGCATAGTCCTCATAAGCATACCGAGAACTTACGACATTCGCATCCTCCCCAGATGTGTAGGAGGCCGCTAGCAAGGCGGCCGAATCTGGTGGAGTGGAGGTGGAGTCGCCGCACCTCCCGCGAAACTCAGTTTCCCGAGTTAAGACGAGGCCGCACATCCTCCTTGGCCTGATCCTGGTAAAGGGAGGTCTTGTGCTTGGTGTTGTTGCACCAGTAACAGCAGCCGTAAGGGTCGCGGTACTTGTACTCGACCTCGGTCAAGTTGAACTTGACCCATGGTGCTGGCTGTCCGTTTCCGGCCTGCAATGCTGGTTTCGCCTTCGCGTTTCTTCGGGACTTGTTGTTGCTTCACGGCTGGACAGCAGCCACCTGATCTCCCTCACGTGACGATCGGGTGGCTGCCGGGTCTTCAACAGTGTTGTCCGATTGGACTGCAGCGAACTGCTGCTGTCGCGGACCAGTTTTCACTTTCTCCACATAGGTTGGCTGCCACGCTGACCTCTCGTGTGCAACCGCCCTGTTGGTCTTGATGATCTCCCTCGCCTTGTCACTGATCTCAGCGAAGGTTGCATACGGCTCGCGATCACCCAGAGCAAGGCTCAATGCAGCGCATGATCTGTTGTAGAACTCATGGCGCAGATGCGTAAATAGCAAGTCGAGATCGGGCGTTGCTGCGATCTTCTGCCATTCAGTGAGCCAGTCACGTGTTGCTGTGTTGCCTTGTGTCATGTTGAAGAGACGGTTGATGGCGAGCGTAGGTGCGTCGTCCATGATGAACCGCTTCTTCCACAACCGTGTTTACTCTTCCCATGTGATCTTGTCTTTCAGATCTGCGACGTCGTCGCCGTGGGTGGCTGCCGAGTGGGTTAACCAGATCTGGCATCCGCCCTTTGAGTTAAGAAACAGGGCGCCGATGTATGCGTGCTTGGCGACTAACAGAATCCGAAGTTGTATCGTTAAACCTTCCCACCAGAGGACCGGGTCCTGATGCGTGTAGTCATCGAACTTCTCAATTTGAAAAGTTGGCATCTTGTAATGTTGCGTGCTGTTGCCATTCTTGTTAGGCAGCTGCAGTTGCTGGACCTCGGTCTTCAAGGTATCCATCTGATTGCTGATGGTGGTCCGCTCAGCGAAGGTGCTGATGTCGCCGCGCATTGCGACGACGTGGTCGACGCGTTCCTCCAGTTGGCGGGTAGAGGGTGCACTGCTGGACTCGCCAGCATCTGGTCCTGGTGCAGCTTGCTCCTGGTCCAGTACACGGGAATTGAGTGCCCGTGTAGCATCCTCGTTGCTCTGCACTGTCCGGCGGCGGTTCGCCAACTCCTGGTGCTGTTTCTTCAGATCCTGGTACTGTTGCTGCAGTTCCTGGTTTTGTCTCTCTAACTCGGACAGTTGGTAGTTGCAAGCGTATAACAACCGTGTCACGAGTTTAGAGAGGAACTCCCTGTGCTGCTCCTCTGGTGTCGCGTCGTCGCCGTTGGACGGTTGAAAATGCCAGAACTCGAGTCTTTCGATGTCGGCGGCTTCATGCCGTTGCAGCAGATCCTGGGCTTCCTTGCGGTGTGCCTGGGTATCTGCGTCTGCTTCGGCCTGTAGCCGCTGCTTCTCAGCTGTTCCCGCTGCTTCAGCCTGTACGCGGGCAGCCTCGGCTGCCAGCTGGCGCTGTTCCTCAGCCTCGATCAATGCGAGCTGAGACTGGAACCGTTGTTTGTAGTCGGCAATAAACTCGTCGGCCCGTTGGCCTGGCATGCCCAGAGATGTGCCCGTCATGGTGGCGGGGCACTGCTGACGTGGCACTGTGACGTGGCACTGCTGACGTGGCACTGTGGCTGACGTGGCACTGCTGACGTTGCACTCTGACGTGGCACTGTTGCTGACGTGGCACTGTTGCTGACATGGCACTACGGTTGACGTGGCACTGTGGCTGACGTGGCACTGTGGCTGACGTGGCACTGTACCAACTCGGAAATGCATGCAAAGGGGTGTGTGGAAGGGAAAACGTAGGTAGGCAACCAACCCAACAATACTTTCCTTCGGCCCTAATCAACAGATAAAAAATAAAAATAAAAGAGGACTACTTCCTTTTTTTTTTTTTTTTGTATATCTGTCGATCTGTTATGAGTGAGACAGGTCAGAAGAGTATTATGAACGAGATCTAGGCTAGTTTCCGCAAAGTTTCGGCTTTTACAAAATGCGATCTTGAAATTTTTTTTTGCGAAATGGAGTAAAGATGCGATTCTCAGAAAAGAACGAAATCCCGTTTCTGAGAATATGGCAACCTCCGAATATGCCTAACGAAATGTTGGAAGGCTTCGCAAGATTTCGAAAAAAAAATTGCGAGATAGAATGGAAATTCGATTTTCAGAAAAGAATAATTCCGCTTTCCGAGAATATGACCACTTCTATCGTCATCCCAATATACCTAGAAAACGAAATACTAACATCAGAAAATTTCAGCTATGTATGCGAAATATCAGAGAAATGAAATGCTACTATCAGGAATTTTCAGACAAAACGAAATGCGATTTATCAGAAATTTTCAAATATTTGTTACGTGAAAACAAAATACCAATATCAGAAATTTTCAGGTAAAACGAAATGCGAATATCAGAAATTTTCAGATAGTTGTTGTGAGAAAAAAAAAATTCAAAGATTTGACGAAGTCCTTCTTGATTTACTGATGAGTAATCAATAGATCAAGCAAGCTGGCTACTTGATTGAGCGGGTCCTCTGGATGAGAGGTCCGGTCCGATACCGAACTGTTGCATACTGTAACGGTGCAGACCAGAACCGACCTCTCAATACAAAGTACAAGGTAGCGTAGCGGAAGACTTAGATACCAATGATCCAAACAATCAATACTGCAATGCAGCCCTGAACATACATCATCATCATCGTTCCATGGTGTGAAAGGGG